CCCATGGAACAGGAGCTATAGTAGTGTGTAAGTAAAATATTCCAGCACAGCAAGTTCTTTAAGTACCTGGGTTGACTAGCATTGATAACACTGTGTGTTGATTGTATTGGTTGGGCTGCAGTGATTTACATGAAATGATTCTAAAAATTGATTTTGGAAACATTACAAGGCTCAAGAGCATGGCTTCAGTGCACTGCTCATTCTGCCAGAATCCTCCAGTGAAATCATGAATAAATCTGTGCTGTGTTAGAATGGTAGTATAAATATTACTTTAAATTTGATTAAAATTCAAACAATCATCAACAGATACAATGGCTTTTAGACATTATTGACCACATTCAAAGACCATATGGCAGAACAAGAGGAAATGACTTTCCAGCATTCTCAAAATCAGTATTTTAACTAAAGTCCTTTGAACCTCATAGAATATTTATGTAACTGGGACATCTTAATATTCTAAATAATGACATTTCCTTAAAGCATTATTCTAAAAACAGGAGTGTATAGTGCAAATACTATTAGCATTTCATGACTGGCTAATACAGAATAGCTTTTCTGTAAAAATCTGATCTCTTAAGGAGCAATCTTCCATATGATTACTAAAAAGTCACTAATTCAGCCTTTGAAATTCAGGACCAATTTGGTGCTGTTTGTTGGATGATTGCTGACAGGGGTGTATAATTACCTATGGAAACACATAAGGACAACTGGAAGACCCAAACTGAAGCCTGTCACCAAGATGTCCATCACCATTGTATTACCTCGCAACACCTCCACTTTGGGAGTTAATTGGGACTGTATGTAATCAAGAAAAAAAGTTACATATACAGACCAAAGTTAAGGTGGCTTTGATATTATATTGAAATATATTTCAAACATCTTTAGTTCATTGCAGTAAATATTCCTTTTTGTTTGTTTGTTGACAGGCAGAGTGGACAGTGAGAGAGAGAGACAGAGAGAAAGGTCTTCCTTTGCCGTTGGTTCACCCTCCAATGGCTGCCGCGGCCAGCGCGCTGCGGCCAGCGCACCGCACTGATCCAATGGCAGGAGCCAGGTACTTATCCTGGTCTCCCATGGGGTGCAGGGTCCAGGGACTTGGGCCATCCTCCACTGCACTCCCTGGCCACAGCAGAGAGCTGGCCTGGAAGAGGGGCAACCGGGACAGAATCCGGTGCCCCGACCGGGACTAGAACCCGGTGTGTCGGTGCCGCAAGGCGGAGGATTAGCCTAGTGAGCTGTGGCGCAGGCTGCCCCAGGTTATTACACTGAAAAAAAGCTAATACACTTAGCATTCCTTCTATGGGTGTTGACTCCAAGATCATCCCCTAATAAATCTGCATGTGAATCTCATCAGTTTGCGACAATTAGTAAGCAAAGGACTTGTTAGATAACTATCATTATGGAGAACTAAGAACCAAGATAATAGGACTAAAACTTGGATTTCTGGAACTAGTTGTGATGCATGGTGGGAGATTGACCATAGATGGCCTAAATTCTCATGGACCTGAACAATGAGCTATTTTAGATGACTCCCAACCTATTCTCCCTGTGAGAGGTACAATGTGTGTGGGGGGGGGGGGGGTGCAGGGGGAGGGGTGTTGTCATATTCCAAGGTCTCAAATTCACGAGGAGTTAAGCAGCAGGTAATCTTAGACAAATCACATGAACACTTGACACATGAAACCAGATGGACAAACAAACTGATTTGATTATTTTTTCTGGCAAAGCTACTTTCTCACACTTACCAAACAAAAGGCAGGATGGCAGAGACAGCAAGTTCTCTGTCCTGGAACATAGGATCTCCCTCTGTTTCTCTCCCTTCCCTTCAACCTTCCCCATGCCCAGTGGATGCCATGGCCTCTGCAGGCCTCCTGCACCAGCAAGGTGATTGGGAGGAAGAAAGAGTGTGACTTCTCTTCCACTGCAAGCCTTGTATGCCTTTCCCTGAATCCACCAAAGTCTTCCAGTGGTGTTGCAGAACTTATCTTGAGTATTTGCAGCCGACAGAGAACCAAATGGGATCCCCCTCCCACAACACTTGTGATCACAAAGGGATGAATTTTACTTATATCAGTTCTAGCTTTTTAAAGATAATAGAAGTTTTTATGGTTACCTGGAGATGGAGACAACCTTGCAATGAAGAAAGGTCACTACTTGTGTCAGGGGTGGGCTGACCCAAATGCCTGAATGTTCTCCAAAGCCAGAAAGAGAACAATCTAAAGTGAGAAGTTGCCTGGTTTGGCCAGAACTGACTATCCACTGGCTTGCCTACAGCAACCCTCAAAGCCTCTTCAGTATGGCCATTAGTACAGGATGGAAGCATGTGCATCCCACATGGAGGAGCTCCTAGCTTTCCTGACACCACTGAGTCCTCCACCAGCAAGAGGATCTGTACTTTTTTTTTGAGGCTCCAGGGTCTGATCAGACAGAATTCCCCAAAAAACTGCGCCCTCAATGCAGACACCATGACTCCAGAATGATCTGATGCTATCCTCAATCCAAGAGGGTTCATCTTGCCTCAAAAGAGGGGAGAGTAACAATAGGGTCCTGCCCACTGCTCTGAGAGTTAGTTGCCATACTTATTCTCTCTGACTCTGGTCTCATACATCTCCCTTCTCCCAGTAGAAACTATTCCTTAATGGGAAATGAAGGACATTGTGAGTTCATGCTGGACCTTGGTACATAATAAGAGAAGACCCAGATGGGGCCCACCTTGCCCTACAAAAGCCCATCTAGTATTTCTCACGAGAATAGCGAGCACTTATGTGCTTTACCCTTTAAAACATGTTCACATGCATAACTCAGTAAGATGCACATCAGCCTAGAGAATCCAGCAAGGGACATGTTGTATAACCCACACATTTCAAAAAGAAAAACTGGAACCCAGGGTCAGATAAAGGACATTTTCTTTCTGATTTATATAAAAAAAAACAAACTTATAAAGGCATAGAACTTGAATCAGAGCTACTTACACACATAATGAATTATCTTTTAAAAAAAGAGAAGATCACATGAAACTTGTACAGAAATGCATGGGGATACAGTCAGTGTAATTATAGGACATGAAATAAACCTTGATGTTAACTTTAAATCTCTCTTTGATAAAAGCTTTAAGGAGAGAAAGATCAGATATTCAAAGCTTAGAAGAGAGGAAGTTGGAGAAAAGGAGTTTGAGCTGAGAAAGTGATTGATAGTGAAGAACATACAAGTCTATGATTGTGACTTTGACAAGCCAGGATGTTTCCTGTAGGCTGGCCATGGAAAAGCATCTTTAAAGACAGACCCGAGGTACCCTGTATTATGCAGTCACTCAGGACATCTTGGCATTCCTGAAGCAATTTGTACTTGCTGTTCCTCTTCTGAAATGCCTGATCCACTTCTCTGCCTCTGAGAAATAAGGTTCCAATAAAATATGATCCATTCAATAAGCACACAAGAGTACTAAAAAATTTCCTGAAAAAAATTTGAATTAAAAGGTGTTTATTTGGGTACCAAAGAAATTTTAAATTCACGTATAGTTTTAAAAAGTAACACACATTTTCTGGGGTGCAGTGTTGTGTTGTAGCATGAAAAGCTGCCATCTGCAATGCTTTTGTCCCATACAGTCACAGGTTTAATACCCAGCTGGTCTACTTCCATATCTAGATCCCTGCTAATGGCCTGGAAAAAGCAGAAGAAGAGAACCCAAGTGCTTGGGCCACTGCTACCCATGAGAAAGACTTGGAAGAAGCTCCTGGTTCCTGGCTTCAGTCTGGTCCAGCCCTGGCTATTGGCTGTCACTGAGAAGTGAACCAGCAGATAAAAGAGCTCTCTCTCTGTAACTTTGACTTTCAAATAAATAAATATTTAAAAAATGTTTTCCCTTTATATATGAATATTTGAGTACATTACAAAAAAAAAAGGAATACATATTTTCCATGAACTTGTTGAAGATCCCTCATATGCATGGGTTTCAAAATTTTTTGTGCCATAACAACATCTTTCAGTTCCATTTTTCATAAAATTTCTAAAGTACCCGTGTATGTCTATCAGAAGTGCTAGGTATTTGCTAGGGGCCAGGTATGAATAAGCTGTAGCTTTTAGAAAGAGATGCACTAATTACTTATCACACTGGAGTATGAGATGTGATTGAAATGGTTACCAGTTTCACACTTTGAGGAACATAAGTTATGACTGCTTGATCTAAAAATTATTTAATGTCCATATTTTGCCACAGACATAACTGCCATCTACTGGGAGGTGATCACTCCACTGAGTCAAACTTCCTTCAAATTTAAGAAGGGACATAAGTTTCATCTATGCTAATTCTGAATCTCCCAAACTCTGCTCCTAATTTTGTACTATAATTATGAGTCACCAGGAAGCTAAGCAGCACTGCTTCTGATTTGGTTACCGTTCATAGAATTGCTGACCCTTATAAAGTCAAAGGCACCCCAGAGTTTGACCACCCAATTCTCCAGGCAGCTTAAAAATTCCTTGCACAAAATCCTGACAACTGATCCTACAAATAAGAGGTAGAGTTTCACTTGCTTTCTTTGTTTGCCCTGAAATGCTCTAGTTTAGCACGTTAACATTACTCTCTGGGAAGTGGTGATCCACAGGGTACATTTCTGGGGCACAAAAATGCTGCTGGAAATCCCGGAAAGCCCTTGTGCTGCCTCTATATAGGACATGCTCATAAAGCAGATGTTTCCTAGTTTTAATTTTTGTGAACTCTCTGATGAATTAAGTCAAACATCTCTGAGCTTTCTTCATTATTGCTACTGTAGGTAATTTGTGCCTATGGTAATAGTAATTTAAGAGCTATTAATGAAAATCAAGGCTAATTAAAAAAAAACAAACATCTAAATTCAGGCAGAGATAAAAATATTGGGTACTCAGATGAATTTTGTCCAAGTTTCCTTTTTCCATTCTAAAAGACAACTGTTCCTCTGCTTGCAATAATAAGAAAAAATCATGTGGTCACACACAGTCTTGTATTGTACATTTGTTAAACATACCTGCAACCCTTCAATGGCCAGTTTAAGGATTGAAGGTGTCAGTTTGGAGGCTTGTTTGAAGGAAAAATTACTCCAGTCTATAATTAAAATGAAGCCATTTATCTGAAGCTCAGGATCTTCGATAAGGACTTCCAGGGACAGCAGGATGGCACGGAGGATGTCTGTGAAGGAGTTCCTGGGGTCAGAGCAGAAGGAGAGTTGTGGTGAGTATCAGCATGTGACAGCATATGCCTGCAGCAGGGCTGGCCTCTTCATGCCTCTGCTCCATGAGTCCAGCCTGCAGGGTCACATTGGTGTCCTGTGCCCAGAACAACTGAAAATACATTCATTAGATTTCCCAGGTGCAATGCTTCTGAGATCCATGGGATGTTTGCATCCCTTCAGTCTGATCCCATTAGTACCCCAAACTTAACAAGACATCACCCTGGGTTCCCATGACAAACTATAAACTGCTCCCACTGTGCTTCATTTAAATACATCTTGAATCATCTCCCTGTCTCACAGAACACTGATATTCTTGGGGGCTGGGACTGGGCCATGGTCATAATTGTGTCCCCAGCACCTAGGTCAATGAATCACCGCTGAACAAATGAACTGAGACCTCAATCAGAGGCAAATATGTTGATTAAGCCTCGTTTTTTCCTCTTGTATGCCTGTGATCTTGCTAAAAGTACAAAAATATTCACATGGTTGATGGTATTTTTTAGCTTCAATTCACGAACAGAGAAAAATAAAGCAGGAAGAATAGTTTATTTTCACTGAAAGTCTATTGGGTGTGATTTGAAAAGGAAATCACTGAGTACATCAGTAACTATGACAACTGCCCGACTGGGATACAAACAAGAGTGACAGACAGTTCTCCAATGTGGTGTGTTCTGTCCCACAGCATATACTCCCAATCACTAGCTGATTCTTTATTTCGAGTAACTGTCAGATCTGAGGAAATAGTGGCATATTCACCACAGTATTTGGTACCAAGTATTTCACCCAACAAGATAAGATCTTACGATGTCTGAATTTGGTGGTTTAGTTTTGTGAGTAGGAAAATATAAACCTGAAAGACAAGTGATGCAAAATCTGCTATGTCCTCTTGTAAAATCATCAGGTTCCTTTCCATTCCAAGATGGCTCAAACTGTAAATGAACCTAATAACTGCAGATCTGAAATCAGGAAATCTGTGACCCAACAACGAGAACTTACCAAATGTTTGTTATAAGCTCAGTGTTGTGTTTCCTGTTTGAACCTATAAATTAATATGTCCTTTTTGTATTTTCGAAGAGCCTCTAATTAAATTAGAGTGGAGTAGGAGATTAGCAATGTGAGTAGAGAGAAATTGTTTAAAATTTGAGTATTGAGGGAAAGGTATATGGCAAGATGACAGCTTGAGATAGGTGGGTGATAAGGTGAGTAGGATTTTAATGGGATAAGTTGGAAAAGGGAGGACAAGACTTTTGGGAGACAATAGTGACATGAATGAAAAATAAAGATAGCACACTTTTTCTGTACAGTTCTTCTTACTAAAAATTATTTCCATGTATCAAGTTGAATTTTTCTTCCCCAAACATCACTCATTGGGAGTAATTCTGCTATATTTAAAAACCTCACATCTCCCCATAAATACAGTTTCAGCTTTCTAAACACAGCAGTTGTGATCTCCTATCTAACTCCTAGACTTAAAAAGTATTACATAATACTTAGTGAAATAAGCCAGTCTCAAAAATATAAATACCATATGTTTTCTCTAATCTGTGGTAACTAATAGGGTATCAAAAGTGTAATATTAGGAGTGAAATTGACATTTTGGGCTTCAATGATTGTTTAAACCCTTATTTCTACTTTTGGCAACAGTGTTTTTTTCTTCTTACTATTTGTTGGATTTTTACTTAGTGTAGAGTTAATTTTTTCAGTGTAAAGTAAACTAAAAGTAGATCATTGTAAAAAGAGAGGATATAGGAGAGGAAGGAGGAGGGAGGGTGGGAAGGTGAGCAGGAGAGAGATAGGAGTGGGAAGTATCACTATGTTCCTAAATTAGTATACATGAACTACATAAAATTTGTATACCTTAAATAAAATTTACAAAGTATTACTAGCTTTAACCATTTCTCATAAAAAATACCTCTCAATACTTCCCTTATTGCTTTCTTTCAGATATGTTCTCTTTCCATTTTTAGAAATTTTATGTTCCTATTAACATAAGGCAAGTTATCACTGGGACGTTGTTTTGATTTTGGTTTTGTATTCATATCAAAATAATTATCTATAGACACAAGCCTTTTCAAGAGACAGCTTTTATTGGGATCAAACATTGATTTGAGAGTAGCTTGTCACCAAATACTATGACTCTAGATAATTCCAAATGAAAACACGAACAACACAATGATAAATTGGAAATTATCATTAGAGCCTCAGGGATGGAGTCTGAGTGCTTAGGAAAACACGTATAGAGAAAATCAGGGCTGAAAGGCTGAGCCTTAGATGAAGCCTACATTTAGTGCTGAGCTAGAAGGTAATAGAATTAAAGAAATAATAAAGGGCAAAAAGACCAAAATGGTATATTGGGGGGGGGGGTGGATTTCAAGAAGAAAAAGTGCATTACTGAATTAGTGGACCCAATTCTTCACTTGTGCCTTGTGGCCTCACTGAGGATTCAGTGCATATTCTATCTTTTATCCCTACTACTTGACTTGACTAATGGCATGTACACAGACATGAAAACTGCTAATTCCAGGTCTAACTGTTAAGACAGCTCAGATGTCAACACTTGTCTTGCCTTCTGCCATTGCTGAGGTACAAATCATGCCACAGCTGGCATGCTGGACTAAGAATGGATGAGAAACATGCAAACCAGCGATTCCTTTACCAATCAGTAATCTTCATTAGAAGTAGAAGCACCTAGCTGAACCCTAACGAGAGAAACTCTATCCACCTCACAGATGCATGAGTAATATAATTGATTGATTTTTTCCCTCAAAGACCTATTTATTTATTTGAAAGACAGAGGTACAGGCAGAGAGAGAGAGAGAGAGAGAGAGAGATTCTTCCATCTGCTGGTCCACTCCCCAAATGGCTGCAATGCTCAGAGCTGGGTATATCCAAAGCCAGGAGCCAGGAGCCTCCTCTAGGTCTCCCATGTGGATGCAGGTGCCAAAGCACCTGAACCATCCTCCACTGCCTTACAGTCAGATCATCAGGAGTAAGCCAGCTTGGAAGTGGAGCACCCAGGACTCAAACCAGTGCCCATATGGCTCCACAGTGGCAGTTCCAGCCACTGTACCACAGCATCAGCCCCAATAATTTGTTTTTTAAGCCATTGAGTTAGGGGATGGATTTTTATTCAGCAATAGTTATCTAATACTAGAAGGTCATTAATTAAGGGAGTCAAATGCAACATAAAGATCAAGATGAATAACAAAGTGTTATTGCATTTGACAAGTAGATCTTTGAGGAATTTTGAGAAAGAACTTTAAGTTGATGGAAGAGAGAATTCAGTAATTATAAAGATCTTTAACAAATCATTTAAAAAAATAGTACCTCTTTACATCACATATCCAGTCGTTTCCACTTTCATGAAAAGACATTGCAAAGATTTGAAAAGACATATCTTCCCAGAAACTTGGAAATCATTCTATGCATTTTGGGGACCAAAATGCATGTTTGGCATGGCAATGAAGGAGGTATGATATTCATGAGATGACCCCAGGAGAAAAGTAAAAGGATTATGGACTTTGTAATAGTTTCCAAATGTTCAAATGCTTTACATTTCCAGAAGAACTGGGTAGGCAGTAAAAAGTCAGATGGAATGTGTCTCTAGTCATGAGTCTATATCTCTGTTGAGAACTGTGACCCTACCTCGTATCTTTCCAGTAATCATTACCTTGATTTCCTTAGCTCCTGGCTTCTTCATGTGGATTTCTTCATCTTTTTCCCTTTGGTTCACCCTCCAATGGCCGCCGTGGCCGGTGTGCTGCGGCCAGCACACCGCGCTGATCCGATGGCAGGAACCAGGTACTTATCCTGGTCTCCCATGGGGTGCAGGGTCCAAGTACTTGGGCCATCCTCCACTGCACTCCTGGGCCACAGCAGAGATCTGGCCTGGAAGAGGGGCAACCAGGACAGAATCAGGTGCCCCGACCAGGACTAGAACCTGGTGTGCCGGCGCCACAAGGCGGAGGATTAGCCTATAGAGCTGCGGTGCTGGCCCATCTCATTTTTTTTTTATTTAAAATACCTATTAGATCAAATAATTTGTGGAGTTACTTCAATATGAAGGACAAGGAGAATATCTCTCTACTCCTTAAGTGGGGGCTAAATGTAGTGACTTCTTTCCAAAGAGCAGAGTATGGAAAGGGGGAAAAAGAGGAAGTTTGCAGTAGAGAAATATGAGAAGCATTACCTGAACCAGATGATCAAGGTCAACTTCATCAGTGATAAATCATGTTGCTAGAACTTACTCCTGCTGTGGTGATGAAATTGTCACTTTACCTCTGTGCTCTTCCTTCCAAAGAATCAAAATGTCCCATTACCCACAAGAAAAATAATATACCTAATTCCAATTGAGGGACAGTCTACAAAATACCTGACCGGTACTCCTCAAAATTGTCAAGTTTAACAGAAAACAAGGAAAAGCTAAAAAACTGTCAGCCGAGGAGAACCCAAGGAAACCTGAAAACTAAACATAACAAAGTTTTTTGGACAGAAGATCATGATGTAAAAACTTAAGAACTCTGGATAAGTACAAACTTCAGTGAGTAGCAATGTATTAATATTGGTTAGTTAGCTGTAAGAAATATACTAGCCATAGGATTTAATAATAGGGAAAACTAGATGTTCAGTATAAAGGAATGCTGAGCTATTTTCATAATAATTGTGTTAGTAGAAAGTACATTTAAAAAAATAGTGCCTACTAGAGATTGCACACTGCCATAATAGTTCTCCATGCATATTCTAACATGTTTTCTAAGCAAATCAAAATGGTCACAAACAGTTCAGCTATTTCATCTTGCAAATTGTGGAAATGAGAACAGAAAGCATTTCTAGAATTTCTTCATTCTACCAACTCATTTAGATTCATATATTGCTTAACTCTAATAATCCAGAAATAAAATGCATTTTCTTTATTGCCTATGGTCACAATTCTATCAGAGTATTTTGGGACTTGTGACAAAATAAACAGGC